GGGGTATTTGGAGTCTCTGAGATTAAGCCTTAACCCTAAACCCTAAACCCTAAACCCTCAACGCTAACCCTAAGCCCTAAGCCCTAAACCCTAAACGCTTAACGCTAAGCCCTAAGCCCTAAGCCCTAAGCACTAAACCAAATCCTGAAGACGGACCATAGAGCCCCTCCAACTCGCTACAGAACTTGGCTTCGGCTTTCAAGGCCAGGGTTTCTGGGGTTTGGGGTTTGGGGTCTTGGGGTTTGGGGTTTGGGGTTTAGGGTTTAGGGTTTAGGGTTTAGGGTTTAGGGTTTTTTGGGGTGTTCCCCCTTAATAGGGGTTATAGTAACCCCCTACTACCATCCCGATTAAGGACTGTTAGTAGAGGGGGGAACATCCCAACGTTTAGGTTTTTTTCTCGGCTTGGCTGAGACTATACTGCTAGAGGGTTCGCGCTGTAATTACGCCTTACGGTTTCGCGGAACAACTTGCACTCTTCAAAACTCTGATGCCAATGCTCTACTGCCACTCACTCGCTCTCCACCTTCTCGCTTCGAAACAAAAAGCCCTAAAAAACCATAAGACCCCTAGAACCCTAAACCCTAAACCCTAAGCCATAAGATCCTACACCGGCCAGCGCACCTCGCTTGGACCCTTGCAGCTGCTTATCAATGGCCGGCTTGACTTTGAAGGCCTGCGGCCAGCACAAATGCAAGCATCTGGATGGCGCTTTACTATGAGTTTAGGGTTTAGGGTTTAGGGTTTAGGGTCTAGGGTCTAGGGTCTAGGGTTTGGGTTTAGGGCGTGGGGTTTGGGGTTTGGGGAATGTGGTCATTATGGTCTAGGGTTTGGGGGAGAGAAACTAGACCATACACCCCAAAACTAAAAGCAGCACACCTACAGACTTCAGAGCACAGGGTAGTATGACTAACGATATGTTCCTGCCCTACAGCCCGAAGAACCTACCTTTTGAGGGGTCCCTCCCTTTCTTTTTGATTTCCTTATTTATCCCGCAAAAAGCTACTAGTAGTAGTAGTAGTAGTAGTAGTAGTAGTAGTAGTAGTAGTAGTAGTAGTAGTAGTAGTAGTAGTAGTAGTAGTAGTAATAGTAGTAGTAGTAGTAGTAGTAGTAGTAGTAGTAGTAGTAGTAGTAGTAGTAGTAGTAGTAGTAGTAGTAGTAGTAGTAGTAGTAGTAGTAGTAGTAGTAGTAGTAGTAGTAGTAGTAGTAGTAGTAGTAGTAGTAGTAGTAGTAGTAGTAGTAGTAGTAGTAGTAGTAGTGTTGTTGTTGTTGTTGTTGTTGTTGTTGTTGTAGTAGTAGTAGGAGTAGTAGTAAGAGTAGTAGTAAGCTATAGGTTTTGGGGATTACAGGAAGCTCGTAGGGCTTGGGATGCTCGCGGGCCCCTGCGCGGCCTTATAGGGTTTAGGGTTTAGGCTTTAGGGCTAGGAGGGCATTGGGCCTGCAGCATCTAGATCCTTCACCCAAAACCAACCCCTGCGTACGTGGTAGCCTAGTAGCCACATTTCTATAAGGTTGCCCTGCTTGGCCTGGGCTACTCCAGAAAGAAACCTAGGACCCCAAACGGGGCCAAAAGGGCACCCACTGTGCTACCAAGCCTAGCTAGCTCCTACACCCCCAAGTATTGCCTGTGGATGTTGACGCTTCCCTAAACTACACCCTTAACCCTAGACCCTAAACCCTAAAAAACTGACCCGTAAATTGCAATACCCGAGACCCTAAACTTGCCCAAAACCCGAAGCCCTAAAACCTAAACCCTATCCTCGGAGTCATGTGGTCCCGAAGCCCGAAGACAAGGCGCGGACCTCGCCATTGAAGCTATCTCCATCGAGCTCGAGGGCCTGTGGAGAGCTACGAAAGATAACCGGGTTCCCCCCCTCATGCATCCTGAACCTCCTTTAGTCAGGGTTTAGGGGGTTTAGGGGTTCAGGGTTTATAGGGTTTATAGGTTTATGTGCATGCTCTAAGCCGAACCTGCAACCTTAACCCTTGCCCGAAGACCCTCCCTCAAAGCCTTCGAAAAGAAAAACAAAACCCTAAGCCCTACTGCCGAAGCCTCCGGGTTCCGTTTTCAGGGTCTTGGAGTAAGGCTTTACAGAGCTTAGGCTTTGTGACTTGGGGCTCGGGTTTACGCAGCCCGTGCATGTGTCGTATCTTTCCTACATACCCAAGTAGCCCCAACGCAGCACCAACTAGGCCTAAACCCTAAACCCTAAACCCTAAACCCTAAACCCTAAACCCTACAGCCTACACCCTACACCCTACACCCTAAACCCTACAGCCTATACCCTAAACCCTAAACCCCAACGTCGTTTAGAAGGACCCCTCCTTACTCACCAGGCATGGTGCGGAGAAGCCTCCCACCCCAAAACCATAATGCTCGGGACGTTCCCCCTTAAATATGAACAGTTCTCAATCGGGATGTTAGGGTTTAGGGTTTAGGGTCTAGGGTCTAGGGTTTAGGGTTTAGGGTTTAGGGTTTAGGGTTTAGGGATGTTAGGGTTTAGGGTTTAGGGTTTCGAGGGGTTATAATGGGGGCTACGAGAATCCCACTTCAGGACTGCTGGTATAAGGGGGAACAGCCAAACGAAAAACCCCAAACCCCAAACCCCCCAACAAACAAAAACTCTGCGAAGTTCTCCTCAACCCTGTTTAGGGTTTAGGGTTCAGGGTTTAGAGTTTAGGGTTTAGGGGCCTACAAGGAGGGTCCCCTAGCAAGCAGAGCTTTGAGTTACTGTAGTATGGGGGTCCCTCCCGGCAAAACCTTAGGCCAAACAGCCAGAAGGCACTTGCCCGACCTTCTTCATCCCCGCAGCAGAGGCGAAGGTCACAAAGCAGAGCTTCTTTGGCATATCCTGAGGCTCTGTTGTAGGCACAGGCTTGGATACCCTAAACCCTAAACCCTAAACCCTAAACACTAAACCCTAAACTCTAAGCCCTAAACCCCCTAAAGCGCGCTATGAGCCATTCTTGTTGGCCTCGGCCTGCGGCTAGCCTTTGCCCGGAAAAGGGTTTAGGGTTTTAGGGTTTCAGGGTTCAGGGTTTAGTGTTTAGGGCTTAGGGCGCAGGGTGTAGGGTTCAGGGTTTAGGGTTTAGGGTTTCTTGGAGGTTCATGGGTAGCAATATGTAGGGTTATGAGTACCCTAAGCTGTTCTTGTAAGTAGAGTTACCATGTTTGAAACCCTGCTTATAACTGCCTGCGAAACTCCCAGTTGAATTTAGGGGCTTGGGGCTTGGGGCCTTTTCTGGATTTAGGGTTTAGGGCATGGGGCTGGGATGTTCCCCTTGATACAAACAGTCGGGGGGTACTGTAATCCCCATTTAAGGGCTGTTTGTAGAAGGGGGAGGAAATCCCAGGCTCCGGGCTTTGTAGGATTTGAAGTTGGGGGTTTTATGGCATTGAGGGTGTAGGGCTGTTTCTGCATGTCGGGTTTAGGGTTTAGGGTTTAGGGTTTAGGGCTCCTGGAACCCCCACCCACCTCCCCAAGCACTGCAACGGCATCAAGTCAGACTGGGTTCCTAAACCCCAAACCCTAAAACCCAAACCCAAAGCCCTAAACCCTAAACCCGAAACCCTCAAGCCTAAACCCCAAACCCTAAACCCCGATCTCCGGCTCCCAACTTGCCCGACACTAAGGAAGGGTGAAACCCCCAGCAGCCCCTAAACACACCTTAACTAAGGAATAAACAAGGAATACACCTTTAGAAATGTACTGTAGGGGGTTCTTCGCATGATTTCAGGTACATGCCTTTTTTGAGTAAGGGTTATCCTTAGTATGATTTAAGGTAACAAATATTGGGATGTTCCCCCTTATACTAACAGTCCTAGGGGTTGCTATAATCCCTATGAAGGACTGTTAGTATAAGGGGGAACATCCCAAGGAATATACCTTAAATCATACTAAGGATAACCCCTGAATTTACAGCTCAATTCATGCCAAGGATCCCCACATTTGTTAAGGTCTGTTCATTAAGAAAGGGGTATTGGGCCCTTAACTAAGGAATATACCTCAAATCATACTGAGGATCCCCATATAGTTTAAGGTACATTCCTAATTACGGGCGTTTTGTGGAAATCTGCTGTTGCAACCCGGAATTGTGGCCGCTTAACAGGAGTGCCCTAGGCCCTGAAGCAACACTACCATTTGCTTAAGAACCCCAAAACAACAAAAGGCAAAATTCCCTATCGTACCCTTAATTTTAGTAGAAAATGCAAGGGCCCGGCAATGCTGACGATCTCGCCACAGGAGGCGAACTTCTTGCGTATTGCCGCCTTCATTGGGTTCGCAGGCGAAGGTTCTCCAGGAGGGTCCGGGTTTAGGGCTTAGGGCTTAGGGTTTTAGGGTTTAGGGTTTAGGGTTTAGCGTGTCGGTGGTTTGGGACTTGGCGATTCACGTCCCATGTTTGTCATGGCAGAGCCAGAATAGTAAATCAGCATCTTAAACGTGCCGCAATCTCGACTGGTGCGCTCGTCCGCAATCTACTCTTACCCGTCGATGGCATGATGATGCCGTTCATGGTTGAGGCCTAGTGGCTAGTGATGAGTGGTACTTCGGCGCTCCATGCAGGGGATGTCGGGCGAGGAGTTTAGGGCTTCAGTGTCTAGGATTGAGGCACGAACTGCCCAAACCACAACCTTGGCATCGGACTCTGTGCTCAGCGCTTACATCTGGAACCAAGGCTTTGCAGCAGTGCCGGTGGACTTGCTCTCAGAACCTTATACCCTAAACCCTAAACCCTAAACCGCCTAAACCCTAAACCGCCTAAACCCTAAACCCTAAACCCTAAACCCTAAACCCTAAACCCTAAACCCTAAACCCTAAATCAGTTCTGGGCTCAAGGGTTTCAGCTCTTTTCCTGACTCCGCAGGCCTGGACGCGTCTGGTATAGGGGTCGGAATAATTACTACTACTATAATAGTATTCCCTTATGGTCCCTTTATACTTCTGCTCGAATAAACCCCCCACAACCCTCTTCAAAATTATTCAGGCCCCTAGAGTGGCCGCTCACTGGCCGCCTAGAAGTCTTCTGAAGGCGTCCGAGAGCCAGATCTGAATCTCGCGCTGTACGACCTGGTTCACAACGTCAAAACCGCAGGATCCCAGGACCATCAGCTTGATGGTATCTTCATCGGCCTTTACAGAGGCTTCTGCTCTTCGGAGGTCGATCTGCTGAATTCGATCTCTAATTGGGGCGTAGCCTTGCGTCTCCAGCACGTGCCGAAACTCCTCTCGCTGCCTGCTGGGCAGCAGAATCGTGCGAGGAAACTCTTGCTCAATGCACACAAAGGTTTCAAACAAGCACCAAGCCCTTGAAAAGTACGCCGGCTCAAAGAACGAGTTCAAGATCACCAGCATCCTCCCGGCGCTTGACAGATGACTCTCAAAGATCGACTTGAGCTCCTCGGACCCTGTGGTGGATTCTTCTTCCAGAATCCGGTATTGGTTGTTGCAAAAGTAGCACATCCACAGGTACACATCATGGGATAGAACCGCACCGCCGGATTCTTGAATCCAAGTTTGAAGGCAGTCTGTGACGTCCTCAAGCGTATATTGCCAGCACCAGGACACAAAATGAGTGGCTTTGGCGCGGTCCGGCGCGGGCAACGCATCCACGATGCTGCAGTTCGGCCTCCCGTCGCGTGGGCAAACCCTTCCAAAGCCCTTCCCAGTGGGCCCCATCGCCAGAGGCTTCAACTCGTAGAAGTTGGGATTCGCCAGACCTTTACGGGAGGGGCCCGGGAGGGATCATGGGCCCCGGGTTCTTTGAGTGCGCTGAGTGCTAGGGTTTATAGGGTTTAGGGCTTAGGGTTTAGGACGTTAACAATGCGATTCCATCCCCAAAGTCGAAGTTGCAAGGTTGGTAAGGTCTGGGTGAGGACAGCCCGTGCCTGATGCAGCACGCGCCTCGCCGGGAAATGTCTCCAGCCTTGGTTGCGATGAGGGGCTGGGAATTGGCGTAAACTGAAAACTACTCGATAGTGAAGATAATAGCAGCAATAGTAATAACCCAATACTTGCAATAGTGGTAGCAACAGAAATAATACAAATCCGCCGACCCCCTTTGTCGGCGTCAAGAAGCTGGACTCGTACCTTTCCCGCTGGATCCGCTAGTGCCCCTCCCCCTGGACCCGCGCGGCCTCCCCCCCCCTACCTACCCCCACCCCGTATCCACCCCCCCCCCCCCCAAAAGCAACCGAATTTGTTGTTTTGGCGGGCGGAGAAGAGGGTGGGCACCCTACCCCTGCCTAGCCCCCCCCCACAAGAGAAGGACCAAAAGCAACCGAATTTGTGGCGGCCAAGTGGGTGGACACCCTACTACCCCCCCCCCCCCCTACCGACCCTCACCAAAAGCAACCGAATTTGCAACTTTCCCCCCCCTACCCCTGCCTAGCGACCAAAAGCACCGAATTGTTTGTGTTGGCTGCACCCTACTACCCCCCCTCCCCCCACCCTCACCTCCCTTCAACAGCAAACAGCAGAAGGACCAAAAAGCCCAATCCCCCCCTTTCCCCCCCCCCCCCTACCCCCGCCCCCCCCCCCTACCCCCACCCCTCCCCCCCCCCCCCCTACCCCCCTGCCTCGCCCCCCCCCCAAGGACGTGTTGTTCTCCTACCAGCCCCCCCCTCCCCCCTACCCTCACCCCGTACCCCCCCCCCCCCCCCCCCCCCCTCCTACCCCCCTGCCTAGCCCCCCCCACAGGAGAAGGACCAAAAGCAACCTGAATTTGTTGTTTTGGAAGGCGGCCAAGTGGGTGGAACCACGCGTTTTGTGTTGTCTGCACCCGACCCCCCCCCCCCCCCCCTACCCTCACCTGTACCCCCCCCCCCCTATACCCCCTGCCTAGCCCCCCCCCCCCACAGGAGAAGGACCAAATGTTTGGAAGGCGGCAAAGTGGTGGGAACCACACTTTTTGTGTTGGCTGCACCCACCCGCCCCCCCCCTCCCCCCCTACCCTCACCCGTACCCCCCCCCCCCCTGCCAGCCCCCCCCCCACCGCACAGGAGAAGGACCAAATAAAGCAACCGAATTTGTTGTTTTGGAAGGCGGCCAAGTGGGTGGAACCACGCGTTTTGTGTTGGCTGCACCCCCCCCCCCCTACCCTCACCCCTACCCCCCCCCCCCTCCCCCCCCCCCCCCCTACCCCCCTGCCTAGCCCCCCCGAGAAGGACCAAAAGCAACCGAATTTGTTGTTAAGCGGGTGGGTCCGGAAGAGGGCCCGGTGCCCGGACGTCCTTATCTTGGGGGTCGGCGGCAGCGGCGTCAGCCTTTAAATAAACAACAGTATCAGAATCAGAATCATATTGTAACATGTACATACGGGTATTTCCAAAGTAGGAGTACCCCTTTTATACCCCAAATTTGAATGGAATCCCCTTGAAGGGACCTCCAAAAAGGACCCCGAATTTCGGAAACTCACACATACATATATATGTGTGTGTTAGCCTAACCTGCGGATGTGGTCTCTTCGTTGAGTTTCTACAGTGGTGTTGACTGGGAGCAAGGCGACTGCACCGGCAGGGCTCTGGGATTCCTCCTCCTACTTGAAGCATCAGGGGACTTAGTAGGCAAGGTTGTAAGTACTGTAACATTGGCTGCAGGAAATTGTATAAGCATACTTCCCTTACTTGGAAACCCCAGTTACGAAGTCCCATGATCCTTTAAGCCGACACTCTAGTGCCACCTTTGGATTGAATCCAGGTACTTCAAGGTGGATGGGTAGCTATAGGTAAGGTTATGCTAACGGGTTCACTTTTAGGGCTAGAGAATAGTGGCGCCTGCGTGCTATTTTCCTATGACGCTACTGATCCCTGGCCTGGTGTGTAGGTGAATGCCACTTATCTCAAAAATCCTACTTTGCGCCGGTTTGCAGGGTCTGCGTTTCGTCGCTACTACTTGGCCGTTTGTCCTTTGGATTTCTGTTTTGGGGGAGAGGGGGGGGGGGAGGGGGGGGGGAGGGGGGGGGGAGGGGGGGGGAGGGGGGGGGGGGGGGGGTTAATGGCGTCGTTTTCTAGCGAGCTCTGTTGAGGTCCTTGTACATATCTTTGATATGTTTCGGAAGCTGACCATACATACTATGGTCGAAAGGCTTCCGACCCCAGCATTGTCGTGCTCCATCGGCCCTGCACTGTTTCTGCAGATGCGGCTCTCGATCGCCAGGTCGTGTAATCCAGCAGCCACCGTGACAAAAACGCCCCAGCAGAATGCGCAAAGCAGCTGCCACAAAATCAGGCATCGGACCTACATGTTCTTGCCACCTTCTGTATGTCAACCACGCGCTGGAAAGCCGAGGAAGGTGATCACATAGTGCTTGGAAACATAACATAAGTATCTACGATCAGGCAAGATAATGAGCCTCTGTACCAACTGCAGCACTTCGTCTACACCACTGAACATGGACCACAAAGTGGAATGACTCCAGCTCGTACAGTGGAACTTGCCAGAAAGCCGCTAAGGCAAGGAATGCATTCCCATTGTAGCCAGTCAGTCGCAGAAGCACGACGTGTGTCAAGCTGTGCAAAGTGCACAGGAGAAAATCCAGGTCAACCAGAGTCATGACTACAAGTCTTTTACATAAAGGCACTGGACTTGAGTATTGAAAGGGTGTTACAAAGCTTTTGAGAGTTCTTTTGGCTTTAGGCTTCAGGGTTCAGGGTTTACCGGGTTTAGGGTCTGGGATACAGCATGAAGGCTCAAGACTCCGGCTTGAACAAAAAAACGCTCCAAAACCTTGCGTGCCCCGACACCTGATCCACAAAAACCCTGTAAATACCGACGCCGGCCATCCCTGCAGGTGAACCCGCTGGGAAGGTTATAAGTACCCCAAAAAGGGTTAGAAGTAGACTTACCATACCTTTTTTAAGCCTATATACTTCTAACTACCCACATGAACCTCCAAGTAAGGAACCCTAAACCCTAAACCCTGGATCCAGGTAGCAGGTGTCTCGCAGAGATCCCCGCTTCCACGGAGGCCGCCGCAGTCATCGGGGCAGGCAGCGCGCCGCTGCCGGAAGGCCCAGGAAGCCCGGGCGTTCTCGGGCCATCGGCCTCAATGCCCAGAAAGACTTTCTTAGAAAGCTTAAGATACTCTAACGACTCTAATGTAGAAGACAGTCTTAATAGAGCTTAAGATACGCTAGCGACTCTAATGTAGAAGACAGCCCTAATAGAGTTTAAGATACTCTAGTGTAGAAAAAAACGATATTATGTAGACTCATGATCTCGAAAACCCCCAAAGCCAACTCAAACAGTTCCCTGATTCGGCCACGGGGACAAACTTCTTTTTTCGTAGGAACCAAAGCCACGCCAGGGCGGCGGCCAGGAGGGCCGCAGAGACCAGCGCAATCGCGATCAGCTGAGTGGCGCCAAGACCGTCAGGCAGCTCTGCAGCCTCTTTCGGTGAAGCTTCGGGACTCTGGGGTTTAGGGTTTCGGGCTTAGGGCTTATACTAGGTGAACCTGGGGGAATGCTCTGGTGGCCACACAGGCATCCATCTCGACCTTGAGGAACCTTCAACACAAGACCAAAAAGTTTGGGTTTAGGGTTTAGGGTTTGAAAAGCCACGTGAAGCCGAATATGTAAGTCTCGACCCGACGTTTCCACAGAGAGTTGGCCGCGGATTCTCGGGCCCCAAACCCTACAACCTAAAGCCTAAAGGCAGGTTTGGCAACGCTCGCTCCCGCCATTGACTGTGGGACAGTTTGAAAGTGAGTCCTACATCCCAATGCCCCACAACCAACCCTACACCCATGAACCCGAAGACCCTTGAAGTTGCCAAACACCCATGATCCTTTAAGAAGAGCCAAGTAAGCACGCCTCGCTAAGGAAGGTCGCCGGAGCGCTCCTGCAAGGTTCCGTTCAGGGATCTCTACAAGGTTTCTATGAGGGATTTAGAAGGGATCTATGAAGAAGTATGCTTTAAGGCTTTGATGGCTTTGGGTTTAGGGCAGGTAGGGCTTTGAGCTTGAGGATTTAAGATTTGAGGGTTTAGGGCGAAGGCCTAGGGATCTCTCAAAAAGTCGGTGGCTACCCTCAGACGCAGCAGGGATACCCACGAAGATACTGAGTCCTGTAGACTCGCGTTGGCGGGCCTTGATCGGCATGTGTGGAGGTCCCATTGCAGCAATTGCAAAGGCCTGCCAAGAGATCTTCCTATGGGGTCTTTCGAATATATGTGTACATATATATTTATATATGTATATATACATACATAGATGTAAGTATACATATGAATTAATATACATATATATATATACACATGGGATTGAGGGTCTGAAGACCTTAGAAGTCTTCCTACCAGTATCGATGCTTGACAGACTTGTGACCAGAGCGTCTTACGGGAAAAAAACTTTGCGCGGACAAGCCCTGAGAAAACGCTGCTGCACCATCCTGACACAGGTTCCCTATCTAGGCTGAGGCTGACCTCGTTGCCACTGCCAGTCTTCGTCGCCATGCTGCTCTTGGTTCACATACAGGCCGCGGTCACGTCTCCACCAGTCAGTGTGCGAGTATTGGAAGTGGCTGGACTCAGCATCCCAACACATGGACGCACACCTGCCAGCAACACAAGCTTGCATCAAATTTCAACCGGGCGGTTGCGGAAAACTCAAACCCTAAACCCTAATCCCTAATGCCTAAACCCTAAACTTCAAACCGGTCTTGCTGTGCCTTGCCCGTGGCTCCCCCATCCAGTGATCGCCCAGCCAGTCATCACCGAGCCCATCCACTTCTTTCACTTGTGAGCAGCTGCACGCCTCGCAGATCAGACTGACCAGGAGGGGGAAAGTCGTCGATGCGGCCTCACCATCAGAAACGCTCCAATACCCAAGAGCCTCCTTCCTAATGGAATCTAAACTGATGCGACATTCTAAGTATTATGCTATGTAGCCAAATAAATACCAAATACATAAATAAATATGTATGTATACATATATATATATATATATGTGTACTCTGCTTATATATGCACTCTCTCTCCATGTATGTATAGTCTATACATATATATATATATATCCACATACTGTATAAAAAACTAAATACATACCTTCGTAATTGCTACAGGCACAGTCCTCGAGTCTCTTACAGGAGGCACTGCCAGGGACAAGGAGGGCGAACCATCTGAGGCATCGGCGAAAGTGGACGTAGTTGGTGTCGTTGTGAAAATCACCGATGTGGTCGAAGTCGACAAAGTCGTGAACACCTCAGGAGATCCAAACTCGGCCCCTGCATGGCCTGTTTAAGGCTGAAGGTTTAGGGTTTAGGGCTAGGCGGGGCCATAACAGACCCACGCGTTTTCGGCAGTTTAGCGCTGTTGCCCTCAGAATCCCCTGCAAATACCGATGTTTCCTGGGTTTCGCCCATCACCTCATCCCCGCAATTTTCATCCAAAATTATCCAACAATTTTTTGGGCATCCGTAGAGTGCACTGGTATTTGTGGGGTTTTTTGCACTACTTCGCACTTTCGACGTGTCCTAAACTAAGCCCTGTCTTGCTTGCATCCGCTTCTGCCCAGCCCTGGGTCAAAATAACACGTTTGCTTCACCATAGTTAGAAGAGAGCATCCATGGCCCAACCATGATGACGTCCATAGTCTAATCCGTTCTGGGAAGAGAGTATCCATGGCCCAAGCATGATGACGTCCATGGTCTACTCTGTTCTGATGAGAAGAGAGCATCCATGGCCCAAGCGTGATGACGTCCATGGTCTACATGTTTTCTGCACTGCCATGGCCCAACCATGATGACTCCATGGTCTACTCCGTTCTGGGAAGAGAGCATCCAGGGTCCAAGCATGATGACGTCCATGGTCTATTCTGCTCTGATGAGAAGAGAGCATCCATGGCCCAAGCATGATGACGTCCATGGTTTACATCGTCTAATCCGTTCCGAAAAGGTTAAACCTTCTTCTGGGCAGACATGGCTGGAAGTTCTTGCTTTTAGGCGCACTGGGGAGCAGAAAGGCGTCATTTCTCAACACTAAAGGCGGTGACCTAAGTCCTGTATCTCAGGTTTGCTGGTGGGGCCACAGTTTTGCGCGGGTCTGTTGTGGACCCGCCAGGGTTTAGGGTTTAGGGTCTAAGGTCACGTTGTAAATCTAGGACGCCGGCCGAGGTGGAGGATGTCAACGAGGATTCCAAAGTTGAGGAGACGAGGAAGCCCTCAGCCACGATGGTGAGGTGTCAGCTGAAAGCTGAATTGCGATCTGTGGTTTTATAGGGTTTAGTTTTGAAGGGCCGTTTAGGGTTTAGGGTTTAGGGTTTAGAGTTGAGGGTTTAGGGTTTGGGGTTTAGTTGTCAAGGTTTTGGGTTTAACGTTTACTCTTGCGGTCAAAGTAAGAAACTCGGTCCATGGGTGGTGTTCTCCATGGCCAAAACCCACACCGACCTCCCACGAACAACCCCGCAATATAGGGGCCTGAATAATTCGAAAAGGGTCTGGGGGGTTAGTATAGTATCATTACAAAGGGACCCTATGAGAATACTATTCGTAGACATTCCGACCCCTCTAGTAGGTGAATAGGTGAATCATCTCCATGGTGATGCGTTTGGTTCAGGCTTCGGGCTTGGGAGTAGAATTCTGATTAAGACGAGTATAGTTATTCTTCTCCTTAGAATTTTCAGTGTCGTTCTTATTATTGCCATTATTTTTGCTTTATTTAGAAATATTCGCAATATTGTTACTTACTATCATTATTATTGCTATCATGTACTGCTATTATTATTAGCATTATTGCTATTCTTGTTACGGATCTTGTTAATTGTTAGTGTGACTATTGCTAGATGCAACCCTCCTGCTCGATCACGAATCTTAGGCTGCGGCTGAGGTCGTCGTCCAAGTCAGGAACTTACCCTGGACACTGCTCGAGTCACCTCCGTACTCGGGATCTCCCCAGGTGATGATGCTCCCATCCTCTCAGGGGCTGAAAACCCTAAGCCCTAAGCCCTGAACCCTAAACCGTAAACCCAGCCCCTAAGTCCTTCTTCAGAGCGGCAAAGGCGAAGCGCGTCGAGAAGACTTCCTTGACTCCGGAAGTCAAAAAGCTCGCCACCGAGGAAGAGTCACCACCCCAGTTCGGCGAGCCCCAGGTAACAAGGCTTCCGTCATCCTTCCTTAGGGTTTAGGGTTTAGGGTTTAGGGTTTAGGGTTTAGGGTTTAGGGTTTAGGGTTTAGGGTTTAGGGTTTAGGGTTTAGGGTTTAGGGTTTAGGGTTTCGGGTTTCGGGTTTCGGGTTTCGGGTTTCGGGTTTGGAGTTTAGGGTGTAGGGTTCAGGGTTTAGGTTTTAGGGTTTAGGGTTTAGGGCTACTAGACCCAGGAGTAACCTAGGAACTAAAAGGGTACCCTTTTTGGGTTTTAAGGGGAACCCAACCCTACAAAAAGGAAATAAGGGCCTACTCCGGGTCCCAGCTTCAATGCCGCGAAGGCAACAGTGTTCCAGAAGATGTTTGTAACACCCGATGCTAGCAAGTGCGACGGTGGCGCACCGCCATAGGCAGAGAAACCCCAAGCCACGACACTGCCATCGTCTCTCAGCGCCGTATATGCGAAATCATTTGAGAAGATATTGACTACTCCAGAGGCCAAAGAACTCGAGACAGATGAAGAATCCCCGCCAAAACGACCCCAGGTGACAATGCTTCCATCCAGCTTCCATGCCGCAAACGCGGAGTCAGTGGAGAAGATCGTTTTCACTCCAGAAATCAAAGAGCTCGACACTGAGGAGGAATCGCCACCGTCTTGGGAATCGCCCCAAGAGACAACACTCCCGTCTGCTTTCAATGCCGCGAAAGCTTTCGCAGTCGAGAAGATGTCAGTAACCCCGGAGGCTAAAGAGCTCGACACTTCTGAAGAGTTGCCACCACTCTTAGAGGACCCCCAGGTCACGACGCTTCCATCGTCTTTCTGAGCTGCAAAGCTCGCAAAGAAGTGCTGGGAGGTATGGGAAGTGGGGACAATGCTCGTGACCCCGGAGGAAAGAGAGTGGGACACGAGTGCAGAATCACCGCCGTTCTCGGAATCTCCCCACGTGACGACACTCCCATTTTCCTTCAAGGCAGCAAACGCAGCTCGCGTGGAGAAGACCCTCCTCACTCCGGAGGCTAAAGAGCTCGCCGCCGAAGAAGCATCACCACCATAGCCGCGATAACCCCAAGCAACAACACTCCCATCGCCTTTCAAGGCAGCGAACGCGTACCAAGTTGAAGAGATGTTAGCAACACCAGAGGTCAAGGAGCCGGATGCTGCAGAGGCGTCGCCACCATAGCCGGCATGCCCCCATGCGACGACACTTCCATCATCCTTCAATGCTGCGAATGCCCTCTCCGTGGCAAAGATGCTTTTAACTCCAGAGGCCAAAGAGCTCGCCTTACTTCTGCAATAACCAAGGGAAAAAGGTTAACCTGTAATGTTTCTACTGAGTAAGGAAACCCAAAAAGTTTAAAGTTCAACTAAAGGCGAAGTAAGCCGCCACTGACGAAGAATCACCTCCGCAGGCAGGATCGCCCCAGGTGATGACAGCGCCATTCTCTTGTACGGCTGCAAAAGCATGGCCGTAGGCGTTTGAATAAACAGCCAGAACCTGCGATGCTGCACCGGCCGGCCCGGGCCATGCCAGCAACGGAATCAGCAAACCCAGATGCCGTGGTGCGACCATGGGGCCCGTGGGCGATGTAAGGCTCTCTTAGATATAGGGATTTAGGGTTTAGGGTTCAGGGTTTCGGGTTTAGGGTTTAGAGCGTTGGGAGTTTAGGATTAGGGTAGAGCATCACAGCATCACAGAAATGCTGCTCTCAATCCTGTCGCGTATTGGGGCCGCTGGACGTACTTTAATCCGAAACTGCAACGATGGTGGCAGGTGATTCCCTGTGTAACAGACGCATGAGTGTTGCTTTGAGCGGATGTCCATAGGCCCTGCATTCATGTACCCCCTCCCCAGCTAAACATCTAAAGCCTAGCCCAAAATCATTTACGTTGTCACTTGGTGTGGCGATCTGTAGTTTTTGCCTGCATTAGCAACCCTAAACCCTGAAACCTGAACCCTAAACCCTGAACCCTAAACCCTAAACCCTACACCCTAAACCCTAAACGCCTCTATAAGCCCCAAAATATGGAAGGCTGACCCTGGGTTGGGCAGGCTCTGATCGCAGCTCCGCCCAGACGCACTAGGGGCTTAGGCGTAGGGTTTAGGTTTAGGGTTTAGGGTTTAGGGTTTAGGGTTTAGGGTTTAGGGTTTAGGAGCTTGCGAAGAGGGGCCCCCTAGTGATAAGGAGTGTTCGAAGGGCCCGAAACCAGCCGTGCCAGCAGAGTCTGCAAATGTCGACCTCTAAACTCGCCGCATCATCAGCGCAGCGCAAAGGATGGTAAATTCCAGGGCCGCAACCCTAAAGGCTCAAAATCCCTGAAGTCGTAAAGCATCCCAAAAAAAACAAAACCCACCCAAAGCCCCGGGAACAGTCTAAACACACTAAAGCACTAGGAGCAAAAGCAGGGCCCAACCCTACTTTGGAGTAGACCCTGAACAAAATATTTCTATTTTTGGGTAGAAATACTGGCTATAATCGGAACCCACAAGCCAAAAAGTATTAAAGTAATCCAAAACACAGCAAAAACTCCCGAAGCCCTAAACCGACAAAGTCGCACATGCAGGTTTCCGGTGCCTCTTCCTCCTGGAGGGTTGAGGGTTTTAAGGGTTCAGGGTTAAGGGTTTAGGGTCTAGGGCTTAGGGTTTAAGGTTTAGGGTTGAAGCAAGAGCGCTTAGGGCTTACAGGTTTCAGGGTTGATGCGGTTTAGGGTTTGGGCTTGAAACGGGAACCCTAAAAACGGATCCTGAGTTAGAGAAACGCGCTTAGAAGGGGATAGCCTTTCAGGGTTTGGTTTAGTTGAGGGTTTAGGGTTTACGCTTTAGGGTTGAAACCTCGAGCGCCCATGCAAATGGACAGCGGCGCTCTCGGCAGTTTAGGGTTTAGGGTTTAGGGTTTAGGGTTGAAGGTTGAGGGTTTGGGCAAGTCAAGGTCAGAGCAGGGTCACGGTAGCGGAGAAAGAACTGGTGCTTCTACGATGTTGCTGCGAGGATGGACCTTCTCACAACACTTGTAACTCAGGGCCCTATAAAACTCATAAATCTTTACTTATGTATATGGCACTCCCCTCTTAAACACTAAACCATTCAGCCCCTACACAAGGCTAGGCCTTCCCTCCTTCCGTTAGGGTTTAGGGTTTAGGGTTTAGGGTTTAGGGTTTTGTAGGGTGTAGGGTCTAGGGTGTAGGGTTTAGGGTTTAGGGTTTAGGGTTTGGGGTTTAGGGTTTGGGGTTTAGGGTTTAGGGTTCCTTCCTGCCTTCCTTCCTTCCTTTCTTCCTTCCTTCATGGGTATATGGGACCCCTAAGCCGTAAACCCTAGAAGCCCTAGAAGGCACCCAATACCAGCCGAGGAAGACCATAGCCGTTAAGACTGAAATCTCGGACTCTGACCGCAGAATCATGAACACTTGCTTAGGGCCTTAGGGCTTGGGGGGGGGGGGGGGGGGGGAGCTTAGGGTTCAGCATCTCAAGTCCAAGCATTCACTAGTCAAGCAATACTCCACCCGCCCAAAGAATCCCACAACATTAAGAAAATATTTTACTTATAGAACGACCTTGCCCATGCCCAATAACAGTAAAACGGCGACCTTGCCCAGTTGCCCAGTAAAACGGCGACCTTGCCCAGTAAAACAGCGACCTTGCCCAGTAAAACGGCGACCTTGCCCAGTAAAACGGCGACCTTGCCCAGTAAAACGGCGACCTTGCCCAGTAAAACGGCGACCTTGCCCAGTAAAACAGCTTGCCCAGTAAAACGGCGACCTTGCCCAGTAAAACGGCGACCTTGCCCAGTAAAACGGCGACCTTGCCCAGTAAAACGGCGACCTTGCCCAGTAAAACGGCGACCTTCCCCCCACTGCCCAGTAAAATGCCCACTGCTACCTTCGGCCCCGAAGGTCGCCGTTTTACTGGGCAAGGTCGCCGTTTTACTGGGCAAGGTCGCCGGTCGCCGTTTTACTGGGCAAGGTCGATTTTGGTCAAAAAATCGACCTTGCCCAGTAAAACGGCGACCTTGCCCAGTAAAACGGCGACCTTCGGGGTCCAAGGTCGCATTTTTACTGGGCAGGGGCGGAAGGTCGCCGTTTTACTGGGCAAGGTCGCCGTTTTACTGGGCAAGGTCGCCGTTTTACTGGGCAAGGTCGATTTTTTTGACCGAACTGACCTTGCCCAGTAAAACGGCGACCTTGCCCAGTAAAACGGCGACCTTGCCCAGTAAAACGGCGACCTTGCCCAGTAACTCCTTAACATTTAAATTATATATGAAAGAGAGGTTTAGGGTTTAGGGTTTAGGGTTTAGGGGTTTTAGGGTTTTAGGGATTTAGGGTTTTAGGGTTTTAGGGTTTTAGGGTTTAGGGCTTAGGGTTTAGGGTTTAGGGTGTAGGGTTTAGGGTTTAGGGTTTAGGGTTCAGCATCTCTGGTCCAAGCATTCACTGGTTGAGCAGCTTTCAAGGCCACAGAGGAATACCCACCCGCCCATTGGGTCCCACACCATTAGGAAAAATATCCAACATGAAGCGGCCCCATTCCCAATCACTCCAAACTGTGAAAATACTAAACCCTAGACATAAAACTCGCAAAAAAAAAAAAAACTGTCGCCGCCGTGTTTTCAAAAACAAAATACCAGGCCTCGATAGCAGCAGATTTTGTCCACACCCTTTGTGGGCAAAATTTGCTGCAATCGACGCCGCCGTGTTTTCAGAAGCAAACACCAGGCGTCGAAAAACTGTGAAAATCCTAAACCCTAGACATAAAACTCGAAAAAACTGTGAAAATCCTAAACCCTAGTCATAAAACTCGAAATAAAAACTGTGAAAATCCTAAACCCTAGACATAAAACTCGAAAAAAACTGTGAAAATCCTAAACCCTAGACATAAAACTCGAAAAAAACTGTGAAAATCCTAAACCCTAGACATAAAACTCGAAAAAAACTGTGAAAATCCTAAACCCTAGACAAGAAACTCGAAAAAAACTGTGAACCTCCTAAACCCTAGACATAAAACTCGGAAAAAACTGTGAAAATCCTAAACCCTAGACATAAAACTCGAAAAAAACTGTGAAAATCAGAAACCCTAGACATAAACTCGAAAAAAACTATGAAAACATGAGACACCGTGAAAATCCTAAACCCTAGACCTAAACGACCTAAAACTCGAAAAAAAGTTGTGAAAATCCTAAACCCTAGCCATAACACTCGAAAAAAAACTGCTAACATGAGACTTCCCCAACCCTCCCTCGAACATCGACCGTAAGGCTTAAAAAGAAGACTGTGAAAATCCTAAACCCTACCCGAAAAACTTTGACTGCGAAGGTTTTGTGCCTTTGGCCACGAAGGTTTTGAGGTTTTGTGCCTCTGGCCATTAAGGTTTTGTGCCTTGGCCACGAAGGTTTTGTGCCTTGGCCACGAAGGTTTTGTGCCTTGGCCACGAAGGTTCTGTGCCTTGGCCACGAAGGGGTTTAACATTTAAGTAGGAGAGGTTTAGGGTTTAGGGTTTAGGGTTTTGGGTTTAGGGTTTAGGGTTTAGGGTTAGGGTTTAGGGCTTAGGATGAATCCCAGAAGCCCTGAGAAACCCCAAGCCCTAAATTCCTAAGCCCGAACTCCTGAAGAAACACCTGCGGACACGAAGGGGCTCCTTGGACCATCGGATGTTGCCCACAAAGACTTTTAATGAGCTGGAAGCATCTTCGTCCTGGGAACGGCTCGCATCTACGATCAGGTGTTTGGGTGGTCTCGAATCAAAGAATAAAAAGGAAAATCAAACATAAATAAATATATATAAATAAATAAATATATATATATGTATATATTTATTTATTTATTTAACTATATATACATATACATATATAAATTACCGGCTACCTTAAGCCTTAGGAGGTATAAATCCCCCGAAGCCCTCAGCCCTAACCCTATCTAGAGGGCACTCGGTAGGGGAGGAGCCATGTTATAATAAGGGCGGGTTGGTTACTTTATGAGGGAACCTTGAACCCAAACAAGGGAAGAAAAAGGGCAATCCGGGGCCTGAATGATTGGAATAGGGTTTTGGTGGGGTTCGTATGGTATAATTCCTCAAAGGGACCACTTAAGGGAATGTTATTCGTAGTTATGCCGACCCGTATAGTACCACCGGGCCATGGACCCTAAACCCTAAACCCTAAACCCTAAACGTGCAGCTACAAGGATCTGTAGACTTCAAGGCTTCGGCCTTGGGGTTGAGCGCCAACGCGCTTTGGGGTGTTTAGGGTCTTGGGGCTGTAGGGCTCTGAATCGGCTGAGCGTCTGCAGGGTTTGTTTAGGGTTTATGTAGGGTTAGGGTTTTAGGGTTTTAGGGTTTAGGGTTTAGGGTTTAGGTCTGTAGGGTTTAGGCTTCCGAGTGTGCAAGCGCTCCATGACAAGGCAGATTTGCAGAAAGCAGGCAACCGCTGTTCCTGCTCCATGTCCGACTCCTCTTCACCTTCGTCATCCTCCTGGCAAGGACCCTACTTGGTGGCCCAGGTCCGGGTCCCATCCTCTCTCTAGCCATATATGATCTCAGGGTACCCTGTTATGGGGTTGTTTTCCTGAAAAGCAAAAACCTTGAAC